AATTCCTCTATCCATCAATCGTATAGTCTGTTTATTACAGAACGACAGAAATACTCAGAAGAATCAGAGAGCAACAAGTCAGTAGCTTTATTTTTCTTTTGTGATCAGTAGCCTCTTAAATCCTGCTGTTTCTGAGTCCTAGAAGGCTCTTTTACTGAACCCACAACTGTTATACTTCCTTAACATTCCACAATTTTTTCTTAAAAGCATAATTAAATCCAGCATATTTAAAGTAGTGATTGATCTTAGAACTTTACATATCTTACACTTAAAAAATATTTTCCCTATTAAATAATTATATGAGAACTATTTAAAATAAATATATAAAAAACAACTCTATTGCTCATAAAATTAGAGTTACAATATGACCCAACAATTCCACTTCTAGGTGCATATGCAAGAGAATGAAAAAATATATGCTCACACTAAAGCCTATACATAAGCAGCACTATTCACAACAGTCAAAAAGTAGAAACAACCCAATGTCCATTAACAGATGAATGGATAAACAAAACGTGGAATGTCCATATAATGGTAATATTATTCAGCCATAAAAAGGAACAGAATACTGATAAATGTTATGATGGTGGTAAATCTTGAAAATCTAATGCTAAGTGAAAAAAGCCAGACACAAAAGTCCACATATATGATTCTATTTATATGAAATTTCCAGAATAGGTAAATCTATAGAGTCAGAATCTACTTTCTGTTGCCAGGTATTGAGGGAGGGGAGACTGGGGAGCAACGGCTATTAAATACGGGTTTTCTTCTGGAGTAACGAATATATTCTAAAACTAGTTAGTGGTAGTGGTTGCACAACCTTGTGACTGTTGTGCTACTGAGTTTTTCACTTTAAAAGGTGAATGTTATGGCAGGTGAATTACATATCTCAATTTTTAAAAATTCAATCAGGGTCATATCTGCTGTCAACAGGCAGATCAAGCTGAACTTTGACTTTCAGAAAATTATAACTATATAATAAGATTCCTTTCCTGACATGGCTTGAAACCTAGCTAAGGGAAATCAGAAAAAGGGTTTCCTGAAAGGTTGAAATTAGTGCACATATACACTCTCCCAAGGTGACCAGTACTTCAAATGAGTTAAAAGGACAACTCATTCATACAGATTCTACCAAATATATTAAAATTATCATGACTGTTGGAAAACATCAAATGCTACCTAACCACTTCCTAAATAAAATTTTGATCTTTATATTGTTCATGTAATTCTTGTACCTTAAAACAATTCATTTTAAGACTGGCATTACTCACAAAAACACTTCAAATTCCTGGCCACAATCAAAATCATATCTAAAGACTAGAATATGAAATTGTCTTCGTTTCTTTTTAAGGTTTCAAGTTAAATCAAGCTTAAATAAATATCCTACTTTTATAAGAATTACCAGAATTTACATGGCATACAACATGCTGTCATTTTTTAAAGTGGATTCAGTAAACTGTGGTTTAGTATGCAGAGGAGTTTTTGTTGCATTTTAATTGTGAGTCAGAGAGTGAACAAAGAAGTTGTACACACACACACACACACACACACACACACACACACACACACACACCCTTAAGTAAGAAAAGCAATACCAGAATGCTTTAACAGTACCAGAAGACAGACTGGTTTTGAGTTCACCTATCTTCTCAAGAAAACTTAAACACTGATCTAACGGAAGAAGGATAGGAATGAGGAGTCTTAACATTAGTCCTAATCCTGCAATTTACTAGTGGAGTAACCTTAGCAAAATCATTTGACCCTCTGCAGGCCCCCGTTTTCTCTTCAGTAAAATGAAAGAACTGCATTCCAAGATTTCTAAGTTTTAACAGCTCTCAACAGTCTTTGATTCTATTGTTAAGTAGCTTAGGGTTGTGGGAGGCCCAGCAATTGTACACCAGGCAGTTCTCATATTTTTGTGTACTTAGGCATCCATACCATATAGAGTAATAAGAGAACTCAGTATTAGTCACAGGGAAGGAAAAAGAAGAGTGCACATGGCTCCTGCTGGTACTGGTTTACTCCTGTTGGACCTAATAAAGAGAAAGCACCTTTGCCAATTTTCCAGGGGATAGGAGTGGTTCCTATGTCTCACCACACCCGCCATAGTTGGTTTTTCCTAAAAGAAATCCAGTGGGACTATACAAAAATGTTGTAAAGGACCAAGTACTTTTAGTCACTGCATGACTAACAGGACAGATCAATTCTAAATTAAAGAAATAAAACAGCTTTCTCTTTCTAACATGAAAAGAAAAACAGTTTTCATTCCAAACAGACAATGAGTCCTAGACAACCAGAGTGAGTTGCATAGATACTTAGCAATAAACAGTGTCAACCCAAAGAAAATGAATTATCTATAGAACTAGAAGGTTCAAAGCACTGAGGTTCAACACAACATTATTATTCAACATAGCCTTTTGGGGAGGGAGGGTAATTAGGTTTGTTTGTTTGTTTGTTTATTTAATGGAGGTACTGGGGATTGAACCCAGGACATTTTGCTTGCCAGGCATGCACTCTACCACTGAGCTATACCCCACCCCTCTTCAACATAGCCTTTTAATGCAATTCAGTTTACAACTCCAACTTTCAGAGTAAAAGCAGTATTAAAGACTAAGACTCATTACCTTTCACAGCAAGATAATCAGACCTGCCCAAAATGTGACAGTGTCAATAAAATAGAAATCACCATCATATGACCTGGTTTGTGGAAACTAAAGATCAAATGAGGCCAATTCAGAAGTTGTTTCAGGTGGCTCCCAAGATGGCTTTCTGTAAGAAAAGGACAGTCCTAGAGAATGTTTCCCCTGATTTGCTACAACACACACTCTCTCTCTCTCTCTCTCAAAATGGCTCTTTGTCAAATATGGCCAACAACCACCCCAAGGTCATATAAGCAATTATCTGTCTGGTTATGCCTAGCGACATTTCTTTCAGGAAGGGTAAGGAGCTGTGGTTCTTAATCTGGTATCCATGCATGGACTGATAGGTGGTACATGGATGGATTTCATGGGGTCAGTGAAGTCCCCAAAAGGTTATGCAAAATTTTGTCTCTTTGCACATTTTTTCTGGGGAGAGAGCCCTTGGGCAGTGAACCAAAGAAAGTTAAGAACCACTGATTAAGCGTGAGATAGAAAACAGAAGAAATCTACTGAAGGTGCCCATGTGAATAAGATAGGAAGTAATGTCTGTTACTTGAGGCCCAAAATAACAAAGGGTGCTGTCTTTTCAAAATAGAAAGAAAATACGATCTGATGGTCAGACGTTCTTCAGGGTCAGGAAGTCCACCCCCTTCATCCTCTAGTCTAGATGAGTAAAATGAGCTGAGAGGCTTTTGCCCCAAACCACAGATCAGAGTGGCAAAGCTGAGCACCAAACTAGGCCAGTTTCTGCAGGACGTCATGTTTATACTTTTTTCAGAATGGGCTTCATCAAAATTTCCCAATATCCTTATGAATACCCCACTCCATTAATGGACCCTTCAAAAATCTTTAAATCAAGCTTCAGCAGAGGAATTTGACACATTAAAATATCCCCAAACCATCACTCAAGTTACAAACCCTTCACATAAGCCAGCACATAAAGGGGAACCTTAGTGACTTTAATATCTCCTATCCTGTTGCACTATAACTGCAACTTGAAAAAGTAGCACAGGTCACAAGCTCTTTGAGTAAAGCGCTTCTAATTGTATTGAAAAAAGACAGCGACTGACAACGGCCCTTTAAGAAAAGATACTGAGTCGGGGTCAAGCTGACTTCACAGTGGATTTGTACAGACTTCAATCTGCAAGTTTACTTCTAAGGAGTCTCAAGTATTGCCTAAACACTAAATGATTTTTCAACTCAGGTAATGGAATCTTTCATAAATTAAACTGAGAACAACCTTTCTAGTTCCATGTTCACAAAACTACATGAGTAGAAACAAAGATAAAAGGCAGTTATTCTGAGACCAAATTTAAAAATAATTGTCAGGACCATTTGTTCCAATGCCAAATTTTGCCTTGGCATATGAAATGTAAAGTAATGAGAAACTCAATCTCACCTGAGAAGTGAAACCAAAGTGACACTTGAACCTAAGTTCAATGACAGCATGTCCTTCATTTTCAAAGGAAGTGCTTTATTAAGAGATTTATTGGCACAGGATTCTACGGCATACACATTGTCTCCAAAGGCACACGTTATGTTAAAGTTTCTGATTGCTTGTGAAGTATACTTAAACATCTCTGCGATCTCTTACCCCCTAAGGTGTAACTGGAATAGGCCGTTGGAAGCACCTGTGGTCTGAAAAGGCTTTAACCAATTCTCAAGGCTTTCTTGGCCGCAGTCTAGAAGAGGGTTTGGCCATTCTATTTTGCGTCAAGGAGACTCTCTTCTACCCCAAGTGACCTCAAGTGGGCAAGGTCAGTTGGGAAGAATGCAATGCAAGTGATTTTTCACCAGGCCAGCGGCCTCCACTGCGAGACTCCGACAAGGATGGAGATCTGTCTCTAACGAGGCGACGAAAGAATGCGGCTCGGCTCCTGACAGGCAGTCTGCTCGGGATCCCGCAGCCCGTAACCGGGCTGTGGCGTCAGGAGCACGAAGAAGCAGGGATCCCCGGGGCACGCAGAGGGAGGAGGGAGGGAACAGGAGCGAGGTTCGGAGCCTGCAGGTGTCGCCGGGGGAGGGGACGAGGTCGACCGGGGCTAGTACTGCCAAGTGACTAACACTGCGGTTCCGGGCTCGGACAAACTGGTCACATTCTCTGGCTGTGTGACCTTGAGCATGTGGCTCACCCGCTCCGCGCCTCAGTTTCCTCATCTCTAAAATGGGGGCTGTTCAAGTGGAACGCGCACCCTGGAGAGCTTGGCACGGCGCCTGGCACATAGTAAGCGCTCCCTACAAGTGAGCTACTACTGGCTCTAGGGTTCCTCTTACAGCCCAGAGGAGCGGGGAAAGTCCGGGGCAGGGGAGTCCCCGGGTGGTGGATCGGGGTTAGGGCGGGGGACCCGGCCTGGCACTCACCGAGCACATCGGCCGAGCGGTGCCGGGCTACGAAGCACGCGTCGTCCCCGTAGCACGCGCCCTTCTTGAGGAGGCCCTTACGGAAGTCCTTGCCGAAGCCGCAGCCGGCCGTCACCAGCCCGTAGTCGCCGCTGCCGCTGCCGCTGCCGCCGCC